GTAGTGGCAGACAAAGATATTGGCTAGTTTGATGTTAAGGACTTGGAAAAACTGATGTGAACATTTGAAGTTGCATTGGTTAAAAGACCTGCAAAGTAAGAAGGATTACAGCAAGTCAAGTGTTTTGTAATTAAATGAACAAATAGTTAATGCTTCCCCAGATGTGATATACTGGTTTCTAGTTTCATATATTAATTGCTCTTTTAAGGCATGTTATATTTGACTCTCCTTTTTGTTTGGCCTTTACACTGATTTCTTCTTCCTCTGTGCGAAAGTCTGAAATTTCTGAGGTGGTTTTAGGTTTAATTGATTGACTTACAGCAGAATTCCAAGATGTATTATCAGTAAGGTTTCATTCATTTTGAGAATAGTGATTTTAAGCAATAGCTGCTAAAGACAGTGTTGTACAGGAATTTAGAAAAGCTGGGATGGTGTTCACGGTGCTATCACTCTTTTGTGTGTGTTTATAAAAGGGAAATGAATACCAAATTATATCTATGAAAGTAAACAATAATTGATATAATGACACTTCTAAAAGAATCTTAGTTGTTTCATTCTGTTTTCAAAGTAACTTTAAAGGCTGTTTTATTTTCTTGAGAAAAGAATTGGTAATCAAACATATTAGTTAAAGTTGAACCCTTGTGAATCTTGGGGGAAAAAAAAATCTAATTACCTTGGATGCAGAACTGGGTTCCTATGTTAGCAGAGCAAAGAATATTAAGTGACACACTTGCTGTCCAAGAAATTGGCCAGCTCTTTTCACAACCCATAATGTGCTTCAAGATATTTTTCATGTATTTCAGTACTTTCAGAAGGAAGGAGTCTTGTCAAGTAGACTGATTGTAAGTTTGTAAGATGTCAGCTGGCACTGACAAAGGAAAAAAGAGCAATGATCCGTTTTTGTGAAGTTTAAAAGTGGCAGATTATCCATTCTTACTTATCTATTTAAACTTACACTGACGTAGCATTCCCTGTCCATTAGAGACTTCCCCCTCTGGTACTTGAAGCACTTGAACTACATTTTATCACAATTATCTTGTGGTTCTTTTCTTATTTAGTCTTGGAGGTTTTTGGTTTCTGCAATCCCATTTGGTTAAACCTCTTGTGTAAGGATGCTGCTATTGTTACAGCCACTTTACACTGTTTGTGAACAGAGGCTCCAGCTTCTGGCATCTCTTTCGAGTAAGTGCTGTGTAAACACAGAGAAAAATGGATGCTTATTCTGAAGAGATTAAAATGCCTGTCCTGTCTCCTCTTTCTGGAATTCCCAGCATATTGTATACTTCCCTGATTTTTCACAGAGTTGCACGAGTCTAAAGAGTTTGTTAAAGTTGCTAGGACTAATTCTGTGTGAGCTTAAAGCCCTTGCAGAATCTTTCCTATGTTTCTGAATTATCCTATGGTATTTTTGGATTTTTTGGATGTCTGAAAAATTTATTTGTATATGAAGTCATTCCTTATGTGGAGCTAATGAAAAGAAAATAATTTGTCTTTATTAAGGTGTAGGACACAGATATTTTTATATGACAGATTTTATTTGCTTGTGAAGCTGAATCACTACATTGTGATTTTGTTATACCGGTTACTGTAAGAATGCATGTGGTTCTTCACCCTCAAAGAGGAGACATTTTGGGCCTGGAGACCACTATCCTTTTCTAAATAAATTATTTTTAAATGTTTAAAATGTTTTTACAGCATTTTTTCTGTAATTCTTGGACCTTGTGTTGGCAAGGGTGTGGGGAGTGGATGAGTGGGATCACAGTGGTGACAAAAAACATTACCTTTTTTCTCTCTCGCCTAAAATATCAGTAGTTCAAAGCTGAAACAAAATATTGCTGAGTTCTGGTTTGCTGATGTAAATTTGGCACCCCTCTCAAGTGTTGCAACCCATTGGCCTGTAAAGTGCATCTAATTGTACGTCCTCTTCCCTGTCAATTTCTCAACTTTTCTTTGTTCTTAAAAGTTAGAGAGATGTTCCAAAGCTATGGTAGTGTTCAGTACTTGTTCTGTATAAAGCATCATTTCTACCTTTGCCTTTAGAACAGGAGGGAGTGGCTGTAATTGTCTTTTTCAGCCTCATAGTGCTTTTTCCTTATATCAGAAATGTTATTAACTAGCCACACTGGTAATTTTCATATAACCTGTGGTGTGCTAATGCAGAAGTTTTGAGGTGTGCTGATGTAATTCTCTATACACCATACAATATAATTGACAGAACTCCTTCTATCTCCTTTTTTTAGTTGTTTTATTCCTAGGTAAGTTTTCCATAATTTGCACCTGGCCAAAACTCAGAACCAATCATTTGCTTTTTATATGGCAGGAGCACCTAGCAAGGTGTGAGCCTACCTCTGTTGGAAACATACCATGGAGCATCACCTTGCAGTTTGTTCTCTCTTCCATCAGACAGGGTGCCAGGACAGGGACTTGTTGCTTGGTAGTCAGGTATTGACCTTCCATTTTCAACTAGAATGTCAAACACTACACTCTTATAAAAGGTTGCAAACGTGGAAGTGCAGTTAGTTTTATTGCAAACAACTGTTCTAAAGTAATTTTTTTCTTTATAAACACAAAAGCCATATAGTTTATTGTTAAAAGGGGACTTAAATATCTAGTAGAATCAATTACCTTTATTAATCAGAAAAAAATATTGAAGTTTCTTGATGCAATTATAAAATAAAGATATGTAAGGTAGAAATTGGCTGGTGAAGATACTCTGTCACTTTGAGACTTTGACCGACCTCTTGTTTTTGGCTTTAGAATTGCTGGCTTGATTGTTGTCTCTTGCTCCTTCCTACCTGCATCTTTGAACCATGTCCCTGTCTTTCATGACTTTGTGGTTGATGTGGGTGCACTGTCCTGTGACCTAACTTCTGCCACTTATAGACTGGTGGGAAATTTAATTCTTTTTGTGGGTATGTAAGAGAAAATTGTTGGAGTATCCTGTTGTTTAAATGAATAAGGTCAAATAGGGACAGGCCCTCTCAATTCAGTCTAGCAAACAGTAGTGGCTATAATGACTGCTTGGGGAAGGCATGTAAATAATGTCTAGAACTGTAGAATTTAAAAGGTTTTCAGTGTATTTAAAAATACCCCAGAACCCAGTGTTTTAAAATGCCTTTTGAATGATCCTAAGACCAAGGTTAACAAAGCTGCTACAGTAAATTTCTTTTTTTCTACATATTCTGCTATTTATTTCTTGTTGCTGTTGTTACCACTTAAATGGTGCCTATATTCTTTACAGTAGTGTCCACAGTATTAATATTTGAAGTTACTTACAATAGCAGCTATTGAATGTTCAAATTAAATCACTGTTTAGAAGATTAGCTTTTTGATATTTAATTTGTTTGACAGAGTTCATGTATTGTCACACAGCATAGATAAACTGTCACTGTATTTCATACTTCAGAACAGAAGATGTGAAGAAGTGAATTAATGTAAGGCAAATTTCTATTGTGATTCAGCTTGTGTCATTGGGTAACCAGTTTTATAAAACATTTCAATTTTTTTATTACTACTTCTGGATTGTTTCAGTGAGGGTTTCTTAATTTTTTTTTGTAATTAGCAATGCTGTACCATATTTCATGCATGAAATAAAGGTGTAAACTTAAGCAGAAATCCGAAATGGAGCAGAGGTCCAAACTTACTCCGCTGAAGTTTGGCACTGCCCTGTGTTTCTACCTTGCTTAGGTGTTCATCACCCCCTACTTCTCTCCATTCTTTTGTCATCTATCAAAATCTACCCCTGTACAGCAGGTCCCCTTGGAAAACTGCTCTCCTAACAGTAATTGATTAGAAGACATTTGAAGTGAAATGCAAGTGTGGTTCTGAGTACAGCTGGAAGTGCTAAAATGTTCCATGCTTAGGAATAATGTGTGGCAAGTGTGTGACTGGTCCCACAAACCCTTCTGCAGATAAGTAATCCTATCAAAGGCAGTTGAGTGCATTTGATTAAGGATTACATGCGATTAATGGTCTGCAAGGTTAAGAGTACAACTTGTATCATTAATGAGTATTCACATATTAATGCTGCTTTGAGCAGAGATTGAACTAGATGACCTCTGAGGCCTATTCCAACTAGAATGATTTTTTGATTATCACACTTGTATTATGCAAATAGATACTTCCTTTAATAAAAAATCCATTAGTTGGGTAAGTTAAACTCTAGTAAGTCACTGCTGTTATTTTGCCTAATTGCATGATGTTGTAGCATGGAGTTGCAAATCTGACCCAAGTTTAAGATTTAAAACAGTAAGAGGAATACACTGATGCCTTTTTTGTGTGTTGCTTCACATTCTTTGTATGCAGTTTTATGTCAGATTGAATTCCTTGTGTAGGAATTCTTTCCTAGCATACACCTGACTTGTTCTAGAATTAGTCCAGAGTACGGTGCCTGAAAATTTGATGTTTTATGTGCAATTGAGGTGCGTGACTGGATTGAAACTTACTCTGTCTAATTCAGATACCACTAGTACTGAGACTACAGTAACAAAGGCATCAGTGCAGGTTAGCAGCCTAAGAAAGGCTTGAGGCCCTAAAAACTTTCCAAAGCTAGGACTCAGAATGTGAGAGGGCATTCTTATATTAAAAAAAAAATTCCAAACCCACTATCACCCCAACAAACTCTGGTAGAATATACTATGCAGAATCTGAATATACGTAGATGTTGAGACACAGCTGGTTGAGTTTAATAAACAATAATCCTTCTCATGTGCAGGGAATCATATGGATTTTCTTCCTATGTCTGGATAAAATTTGTACCCGTTTATACTTCTATAACTGTTCTCGTTTAGTATTGTTACTTACTTAATTTTAAGCAAGAAGTTGGTGATAAGAGAGGAAATCTCTAAACTGCTGCCTGTAAAAGGCCAATCACTTTCACTTGCATGCAATTATAAATGTTTTTATGTAACATTTTAAGTCTCCCAATATTTGAATTAATCTCAGTAACAGGCTATAGTTGTCATGTCTTATTGGTAGCAGTGTATTTCAGGAAAACACTTGGTTGTATACTTTTATTTAAAAGTACAAGGACGATGGTAACCTCACAAGTAATGTGCTAAGGACCTGGCTGGTCTCTTGGGCTTTTAGGGAGTATAGAAAGCAATTAAAAGGAATAAGAGGTGCTAGGAAGGAGTGGAGTTATTTCTTCATACTGCCCTTCATCACAAGGATGTTGTGAGCATTTTATTCTTTTCAAATAATGTTGATTGGATGTTATCTGATTATGGGATTAGAGAAGCAGAAGACTGAATGCTAGAATAAAGTGCTAAAGACTACTAAGTCACAAGGACTCGATGCTATTCATTCATTTAGTGGTTCTAAAGGATGAAGTGGCTGATCTGCTAAGAAGCATGCATCTCGTTAGGATGAGATGCTGTGCCAGAAGACCGGAAGCTGTCAAGTGCTGTACATACTGTACTTTTAAACTGAACACAAGGAGAGCAGAGCTGGAATTTGCAGACCAAGGACTCTTATTTTAATGCCACTTAAGTAGATTTGAATTCTGCATGGATAGTCAAGTAGTTCTGTGAGCACAAGACAACAGCTTTCTATGCAGTTGTATCTTAGAAGTAATGAAGAATATCAGCTGCAACTGGAGTATTTGTAATGTGTCTCTTGCTTGTGTGTTTGCTCCCCAAGGCATAGGCTGCAGTCTCTACTTGAGTTTGGTCTGTTTGTGGGTTGGTCTTCTATAGCTACTTGCCCAGTACTTGGATTTCTGAAATTCTTATTTAACTGTAAATGGCTTTTCAATTTTCCTTTTTGATAAAATTTGAAATCAGGTAGTGGATTTGAAAGTTAGAAGAGGCCAGGCCTAACCTAAGCAGACATGTTAAACTGGGTTAATCTCTTCTGTGTTTAGCAGTCTAAACAATGACTAAGTTGCTTCTGTTCTTAGTAGACAAGAGAGGGATGGACTCGCATGCTGATAGACTCACACACCCTTTAGTTTTTTTCATCCCACCTTAAACTTGCAGTGTATGGCCTTTGGCAGGAAATTATGCCCCATGCACTTTTGGTGAGGCTCTGCAACTCATCATTTTTGATGCCATTGTGGGGATGATGACCAGTGATGCAGAGGTGGAACTGAAAGTTAAAGCAGTCCAGCAGTACACTATGCTGCTTTCAGCGGCAGAGCTGTGATTTACCTTGTAATTTACACTCAGATGACAACACCAGTTTCTTAAGTGCTGACATTTGTAGCAATTGGGTGTGTGGTCTTGTTCCCTCACTTTCCTTCCTATTGTATTAGCACAGTGATTTGTGCCATCGTGCAGCGACTTGAATCAGAAAATTGATCCTGACGTTGAGAGGGGTCTGTGGCAAGCAGCAATTTCTAACCCAAGCTACTTCCTCACTCTGATTTAGTGGGTGGCTCCACCAGGAGATGGGATCATGACCCAAGGATCAGAACAAGCAGCAGGAGAACCTCTCTCTTTGAACTGACATTTTACCAGAATTGATCATCAGATTATGCCTCTAGAATCTGTGACTCGTCCTCAACTAAGCATCCCAAGTAAAATACTGCATACATTCTGTAAAATCAAAGAAAGTTGTGAGAAACTTGAAGGCAGTCTTCTAAAGCCATCTGCATTAGCATGATGGTGATAGATGTCATTTGATGTTTTTAGCTACAGAATAATTCATGCTGGAAAGAGTAACTTGAACCACTTGGAGATAATTCTATATTACAAGCAAATGTTCTGCAAAAATATATATATCATTCTAGATACTTAGGTGAAAGCTTATTTGAAGAGAAGAAATATAAAATGTATAAGAAACATCCCTAAATTGTATTGAAATGGTGCTCAGCAGTAGCATTAAATGGAAGTTCCTTATCTGGGCATCTCTGCTTAGATGAACTCTTCATCTAGTTTAATGAATTCATTTATACTTTATCAATCACTGCATTTACATATCCTTTATGTGTTTTAAATGCTATTGTTAAGTAACAAGTTCTTGAAAACTAAGTAAAGTATTTTAAGTAACTTTACACAAAAAAAGTTGCTGTATTTCTTGCTTTCAGTTCAATTACTTCAGATGATCTGTAAATTTTCAATGATGGCAATACATTCATTCTGCCATTTGGAGGAGCCTGTGCCACAGAATAATGATCTGAAGAAAGCTCACTTATTTGCAAGGAAGAGTCTTCATTTGGGAATTAGCACTGATGCAGCTCAAGGGTGCTTTTCCAAGTCCAGGTAAGTTTTCTTAAATGCACACTTATTTGGGTTTGGTATGCTGGCATTTAATTTACATTAGCATATATGCTGTGTCCTGTCAGGGCCTTTGTGTTGGTCATTTGACACATGAAGTATGTTGATATTAAAGGGCACATGTAGAAGCACACATACTTATGAGCGGAGGGGAGTAGTCTGGAAAATAATTCTAGCATCATGTATTATCTCTGGAGTAGCTGGTAATGGAGGCTATGATCTTAATGACACAATTCCCTTTTGCTGTGTGCTTTTTCAGACTTTTCATATGTGTTTATTATATAAATACAATATTTTGCTAAGCCTGAATTGTTGTTTTGGATCAAAATGTTAGTTATTAGGTCTCAAGTCATTCAGAGGCAGTAAAAAGGAAGTCATAGTTAGGGTTTTACAACTTGGAAAATTTTCTACTTTAAAAAAATCAGCTTTGGAATTAAAAAAAAAAATTAATTATATTTTTTCTAAAATGTGTCCTTAAATCTTGGCATTGTAACACCTGACCACGATTTAATTTTAGAATAATGGTTTTTAATGTCTGTAGTATTTATTTTTTTCAAGACATCCAGTTATTTTTATAACTGTATAATGACTTCACCACACAAGTTGCTTTCTAGCCATATTCTGTATGGGAGCTGTATGCAATGCACATTCAATAAGAACTATTAGCAGTAAATTAATAAAATAATTGTGAATATTTAAACAGGCACTTGAATTTCTTGTGTTTTCATTGCAAACTGCCATTCTCTAACTGACAATGGGTTTGACAGCAGCCAAATAAATGATAATTTGGGGAAAAAACCCAACAGCCGGGTGCTTATCAGGTAGAGTACAGCTTGTCAGCCTTTTCAGTGGTACACAAATCAAGATTCTTTTAATGATATCTCTCTATTTTGTCAACTAATTATTGGTTAAATTACTGGATCGCTTGCATCTTTCTAGATGCATATATGATCTGAGAAGCCTTAACAATATCATTTGTCTTGCTAAAAATCCTGCGGAATTAAATGGATTTCAAATTTCTCAAATACATTACTGTGGTATCTTTTGGGTCTGGAAACAGAAGCTCCTGTTCTGTGTGTTTTTATTCACATTTGACTTCCTATCAGTGCCTTCCTTGTAGAGGGACTGATGCTGAGAGCTTCAAAGATAGAAAGAGCATCACTTTTTTAAAGTGTAAGCCTTTAGTTTAGTCCCCTCATACTTGTAGGAAACCCAAAGATACTGTTTTAAATAAATGCTTTATAACTGTAATGGATAATTAGAAGTCAGAAACTAGTTTACAAAAGCTTTTGAACTGTTAGTGTACTCCAAAGAGGAACGGCAGTAGTGAAAAGGAGGCTGTTGCTTCAGTGTACTTCTAAAAATTGAAATGCATCACAAACCAGAACTAATTCTGGAGATAGTGCTTATATTTTCTGAATATGAGTATGAATACTATGAATAGTGTTCACCAGATACAATTTTTATTTTTCTTAATAATACAGTATTATAAAAACTGAGGGCTTTGGTGTATCCAAATGTTTTTTTGATGTAGTTGGAGAACAATACTTATTCTTAAGCTTATTAGGTCCTGTTGGTGAGAATCTATTCTGGCTGCACATGAAGTCAGACTTTAATGGAACACAGTTCCATTGAACCCAAAGTAGGACGAGAATAAACAGAAGCCAAGTTTAGTATTACTCATAATAATGCTTATGGTGTCTATAATATGGATATTGAGAGCAGCAAGTGTATTTTTTTTTTCAGACTCTTTCAGCAGAGCTGTTATTTTCCTAACACAACCTCTGGTATAAGGATAAAATTGGATAAAATAACAGAGTCCTGTATCTGAAGAGTAAGAAGGTAAGGTATTTGAGATTATATCATTTCAGCAAGCAGTTAACAGTAATTTCAGTTACTTGTTACTTTGCATACAAATATACTTGATTCATCATGCATCAAGAAATCTCAAACATTTTATATCCCTTTTTGCTGCTTGGGCTTTTTTCCCCCTTTTTATCTCATGGGTGGAATTTCTGAAAGCATTCAGCTCTGCTTTCTAAATGTGTTTTCTGTGAAATCAATGAGCTGACCTGAGTGGGAATGAAGGTTGGTTTATCTTTGGTGAGACAAAGTTAAGTTGTCAATAACTGTTGTTGAAATACCATCCTTCAAATGCGATGTCCTTGACGTTCAGTGGGATGAGAATCTCAGAACTGACTACTGGGGACTCCCAAGCTACAGATCAGGTAAATAACTTCTTTAGAGGAGGAAATTAAAGGTGTCTTCTTTTTAAAATTATGATAATTAAGTAGCAAAGTGTGCAATTTAAACTATAAATATTTCCCATTTAACATTTAATTTAAAATAGACATGTCTATATTTGTGAGAGGATTTGTTAGCTGCAGTTTGAGCCTTATATAATTATCTAACATTTCAGCAGGACTGTTTCAAAAGGACTTCTATACACAGAACATGAATATCTAGTTCTAATTCCATTTTCCGACATGAGCCTGTGTGTAATTGGTCCAGCTACTATGATTTCCATTTTGCAAAGACAGAGATGTCTTTTGGTACTGAATGTATAATTTAGAACTAACAGCTTCCGTATTAGAGTAAGTGATAGAAGCTCTGTTCAGATCATGGGATTAACTTTGTTTCCTGCTTCAGCTAGTCCCCACTTTCTCTAAGAAGAGGGTAACTCCGTTGGTGTTGTGACAGCTCAGTATAGTTTGTAACAGAGAGCCTTAAAGTCACCCATAACTGGTGCTGCTGTACGTTATTTCTGCTCTTGGAAAGTACAGTGGTGTAGCGGATGCTGCTGTACTGGAGGCAGGAAACTTGGAGAGGAGCAGTGTGCATTGGCAGCAGGAGCTTTTATGGCCATTGCTGGTAGCTTGTCCTGGTTCATCATCCAGGGTCCTCTTTTGCTCTGCTTTTTGGGGAGGATGTGGAGAAAAAAGTAGAAAACAGTTCTGTAATTGTTAGAAAAAAAACAGTAAGTTTTCCTTGTTAAAAATCAAAACATTCCTCTATCATCATGTTTCAAAGAGAAAACTTTACAGATTTGAGGGATTTTTTTAAGACTTATCCAATTACTATAGACTTATTTCCTTCAAAACCAGAAAGATAATATAAAAGTATCAGTACTTTGAGATCAAGATCAAGAATAAAAATTGAGAATATTTTAAGATAAAAGATTACAACAAATCAAAGAAATACATGTATTTCCTTTTAAGATATTTAACTTCAATGGACTGTTAACATCAATGAGATATATTTAGGGTTTTCTATGTTCAGTTCTATAGGCAACATAGAATGTGAGAGAAACAGCTGCATCTGAAATAGATCATCTGCTTAAGGAAAGTAAGCAATGATTCCTGCCAGGCAATTGGTTAAAAATACCTATTAAAATACAAGTGGTTTTATAGTAGCTTCCTAATTCATTTAAGTAAGTAGGAATATCACATGCTTGTAATAAGTTGCATGTTCATAAGTGGTGAAGAATACAAGGTTTGGGGTTTTTTCTCTCTATAGAAATGAGTAAACCCTGTAATTCTTGCCACAGGATATACTAAACAATCAGGGGCAAGTTTCTGTATCTCTTGAATTTGGGAAGTTATAGATAATCTGAGCAACAGTTACTAAAGATGTTTTATAATTTAAAAAAAATTGTGTAGCACCCAGAACATTCAATTTTAGACAAGTGATGTATTTTAAGAGACAGTTCATACCTCTGTAGGTAAGTTTGTGCCACTAACACTTTAAAATAGAAGTATCTGTGCAATACATAATCTGTGCATGTACCTCTCTCTGTGGGTAAACCATTGATATATTAGTTTTATGGAATATCCTTGTTCCACTGTTCTTTGGAACACAGTTACCTTCCTGCCCGCTCCGAAAGACGTATCTTAACTTCTTCCTGGGACTTGTGTTCCAAGAATGTCTAAGAGAGGGCTCGTGTGGGTACTGATGTGTAGCTTATTTTAGGGCTTAACAACCATGGCAGGATTGGATACCACCAAATGTGCTACACTGATTATGGGTCCCAACATCATGACTTTTTTTTTGAGAGCAGGCCCAGGAATTTCTTATCCTAGTCATGAGCATCCAGCTTAAATGCTCTCCTCTTAGATCTCACTTTTTTATTGTTGTCATATTGAACTATTGTTGTCGGATTTTTGAAGGAGGAGAGACTGTTGCCTTATCTGCAATACAGCTATGGGAGTTTCAGGGTCTTCCAAGAGAGGATATCTCATTCCTGACATGTTCACCAAGAAGAGGTGATGAAGGCTATGTAGTGCTTTGAAGATTAACTTCATTGTCATGCTGTGGAATGGTAATTGTGTATGTTATGGAATACCATCAAAATGAACAGTGAAGTTGATTTTTAAAGAGTAGATTGAAGTATTGCATCCTTCAAGATGATTTCTATAAGTTAAAAGTATTTTAGATTAATTTTTACAGAATTTCAGAGTATTGAGAAATTATATTTTCTGTATATAATAGACCACATTTGCTGGCAGGTCTTTAAAATGCTCTGTTAACTATTTGCAATGAGAATTTTTCTAAATAGAGATATCATGTTTGTTTAACAAGATTTTCTATGTGAGTATGCTCTTCTCATTAATTTATGATAGCATGCTATGCAAGAATTGTAGTGTTGAGTTTTATTTTCAGGTTTTTTCCTCGTATTGAGGTTCATCAACTAGCAAACAAAACCCCCCTACTTTTAAGCACCTCACTTTTCAACACAGATCAGTCCCTGAAATGAGACCATTTATGCTATTAAAAGTAAATATTTTACTATTTTGTAAATAACTAATAAACCTCTCAGTACTTGTGCTAGATTGTGGTCACTGCAATTCTTATTCTTGTTGAGGCACATACAGTTCACCTTTGATAAATAAGTTACAATTGTAGATATTTCCCTTTATCCAAAGATTCCTGAGGGCAGACATCTTATTTTAGGGGGAGGCAGAGATAGGGAGACAAAAACAATGCATTTCTCTTGAGTCTGTTTTGAAAGTTGTTGTAAAGAAGTCACAAGTAAAGAGGAAAATGCATTCTTGTTCTATCAGGTGATTCTGGTGTCTCAACTAATTTGTCTGGGAGTTACCATTCATAGTGTCCCAGAGACAACACAGTGGTTAAAACTTTTTTTTTCATTTGCTTTCCCCTTTAAAGAACACTTGGATAAATAACTAAATTTTGTTCCTTTAGAAGCAAAAAGTTGGTGGGTTTTTTTGTTTTGTTTTTTTTTGTTGTTGTTGGTTTTTTGTTTTGTTTTTTTTTTTTAATGGCACAGCTGGAATAGGCAGATGCAGTTTCAAATAACCAAGTAAAGTGCAGGTAGTGTGGAAGTACTATTGTGCAGCTGAACTAAAGGAATTTTGCTGGATAACTGCTTGCCTGTTATTGTCATTGGCAAGTTGCAGGTAATTTCCAAAGCTCTAGTCTGGCAGAGGTGTAATAATTGCTTTTATATGTATTTTTCAAGCCAAGACACACACTTTACCAGTGTTTTTACAAAGATTCAAAATTACCACAACATTGTTGCTAAAAAAAAAAGTTCATTTTTAAAGAAAATGAGGTATGAAAGAATAGTGACACCTGAGTGGCACAGAGAAAACTTCTGTCAGATGAACTCTTGACAGAATCTGGCAGAAATTCAAAGTCTGGTTTGTCTCTAGTAATTCTATTAGCATTTCAAAGGTTGGTGATGTTCTGGGAATGACACAGGAGGATTATTTTTAAAGTTAAAGATTAGTACTCTAAAGTGTTGCCTGTGCTAGGAATATTGTTGCTATCTTGCAATAGGTAAATGGACTGTATCTGAGACAGTTCTATCAGACGTTTCTCTATCTGTACTGGCCAAATTAAAGTATCAGTCACCTTTCCCTGGTGTGAATAGAGCTGTATCATTATAAAACTGTATCTATTGGTAGCTTATTTCCTCGTAGAAGGAAACAACCTAGGAACACTGGCCCAATTCCAGAAATTGTTTTTGCTTATATTGCTGTTGCTATGCTTGTATAAACAATTCCTATTGGAGATCTTGCACCAGATGAAAGTGACTTCAATCTAGTTTGTTTGCCCTTATCCATACAGCCCCATAAAAAATTACACCACTTCAGTTTCACAGGTTTGATTTGCCTTTGTAGGCAGACTTGCTCTTTACACTGACTTATCTCCATTTATGCTGAAGGATATAAACAATGAGTGTTATGACGATGAAAATGTGTCTTCTGTTCTGATATAAGCCTAATCTATTCAGTTAACAATAGAACAAGTACAGTTTGCTGTGAAGGTTAGAATATTTCCATCTGGATGTGTGCACCAGAGCCTACAGAGCAGCTGTCTCCATCTGGAATCCTAACAACTCTGTTATTCAGCATGGAGTACAATGTTTTACGTACTCTTAGCAACTTTTCAACTACTGTTTGATAGATCAGTGCCTTTCCTCACTTTTCTGCTATCCAGTATGTGTTACCTAAGAAAGAATTAGGAAGGCTGAAGTCAGAATATCAGAACTTGGATCACTTGCAAATAGGGCTGATCTGCATGTGCTTGTTCTATACAGATATTGTTGAGTAGATTCAGATCATCTCTGTTTTAAAGCTACAGGTGAGGGAGATATCTTTGATCCCATCTTAAAATGTAGGGAGGGGATTGTGACGGGGAAAAGAACTGAAAATAAATATAAAATAAGTCTAAGTTTACTGCTCTAAGCCTGGGAGCAGTGAAGAAAGGACCTCACCAGAGACTAACTCACAGGAACAGAAAGAGCCAAAAGCTGGGGACCTTTGACCATTCAGAGAACGTTCACTAACTTTAATTAGCTGTTTTCTGTCCTGTGCTTACTGACTGTTTCTTTCACCTCTTGCTGTCCATTCTACCTCTTCACTTCTGCTTTGTTCGTGCATACGACATATGCTTCCACCCACCCAATGTGCCCTCCTTACCCTGTACCTCCTTCTATGTTGTTTGCGAGCAAAAGCCACCTGCAAAGTAGAGCTACTGTTACATTTACTGCAGTCCTGCTGTTTGTGCTGTGTGTGGACTTTTCCCCTGTGCTGTCTTACCTGTTTAGACTTGTTTTTCCTTTGTGGTCAGGGACCTTTTACTGTTCTGTGTATTTGCTCTGTCCAGCATAAATGGAACTTCAATTTTCGGAAGTCCTTAGAATACCTTAAGTATAGTTTAGAATTGTGTTGCTTCATCCTGTTCTTTTATAAAAACCATTCATAGGCAAATGCCCACCCTTAATGAGATGAAATAGGAGATTCCATGGGATAAAAATGAATTTTGCCTTTGCGGTTTTTCTATAGGTGAATCAGTAATTTACAAGTATAATGTTACAGCTGTGGTTATATTAGTGTCCAGCATAATAGGATGAACGTTTCAGAATGAATTTTCTATTTGCTCTGTTTGCATTGCACTTGCAGTGGTTTGCAAATTGCTGGTTGGTTTTCCATGTCTTACAGCTATATAATTTGCTTTCTAGAAACCATTTTGGTAGGTGTGGGTTGCTTGTCAGAAATCCGTTCTGAAGCTTGAGTGCAAAGGAAGCAAGGTACTAATGATGAATAAGAATGGATATCTTGAGGATAACAATGGATATGGCATCTTCAAAAGCGTGGCATTCTGGTAAGAATTTGCATGTAATTTATTAAACACTACGTGATAATTCTCAGTAAAATGTGTTTGTGTCTCTCTGAGGATTTGCCTGATGAAATTTTCTTCTAAAATGTGGAAAGTAGGAGGATTGCTCTATATCATGGAGTATTTTAAATTCTGAAGCATTTTACAACAACTTTACTTAGTGTTGACTTCTTGCATATAAAAATAGTGAAAGCATCTTTTTAGAAGAGTAAGTTATTTTAGAGAGGGAGTTAGTGGCCATTTATGGCTCACTGTGAGCCTGTTTCTCTGAATATTTGGAACTGAATATTTTTGAACTGTCATTTAAAAAAAAAGTCTTTTTTTTACTCAGTATAATCTCTCATGGCATATTTCACCACTACACATGAGAATAGTGTATTCTAATAGGCATTGCATCCAGCTTTGCAGGAGATACAAAACATGTAATTATTGACGACCTAATTATAGCTGGAAACTTTTAATCCTCATATTGGTTTAAAAAAATATGGCAGCATGCTTAGTTATGACACTGGAACTACTTTGTTGGAAGTTTCACACCATTTAAATCATGTACGCAATTAGAAAGTGCAAGTAAAAACACCAATGAAAGTTTTACTGTAACTGCAGTGTAGTAGAAGTGATTACTTTAAATTTAGTATTTGAAATAACTTAAGCCAACAATTCCCTAAGCAAAAATTCTTGTTTTCACCAAAGCCAAGTATATTCTTATCTGTGTATATACTGACTTCTTGAAATAAACAAAGAATTTGTGCCTCTTTTTCTTGAAATCCCACTGGTGGTTTATATTGAAGTGGAACTGTTCTGCTGGCAGTTCTTAAAGCTTCTTGGTTAAGGGTATTTTGAGGTGCTGGATGTGCATAAGCTCTATAGGAAAGAGCAGCACAGACCCTGCACATTCTTCTGATGAACCGGTTTCATAGCTGAGATGGCTGTTCCAGAGCATGCTACTTCCAGTGAAATTGGGGTTTAGGCACACCTCGGGAACTCTTAATTTTGTCATGCCCTGCAGGAAGCAGGGTGGCTCAGGAGCCAATTCACAAGCAGATTAGGTGTTAATCGGATAGACTGTGCTGGTCAGAGGGGTGGTGGTTAGTGTCTGAGTGGTAACAGCAGGCCTGTCAGAGGCCTTAGCCCTGCTGAGAAGCAAGGATAAGGAGCTCAGACACATCCGTGTGCTAACACAGATACTTCCCATGGACACACAGTGAGAGCAGGAAAACGGGTGTATTCTCATGGGGGTGAGCACCAGCCAAGCTGAGAGAACCCAGCTGCTCTGGACTTCATTGTACAGTGTAGCTGTACATCATAATAGGTGCCTAGGGCTGCATTAATTGAAACAGAGCATCCTCACTAAGATACTGTGAGAGGAAGGACAGAGAATGCCTGGTAGGTGAGCTCTGAGAGGTCTGTGGCTACACTCCAAAGGTCTGATATAAGTGCGTAAGTTAGTCTTAAAAATATTAATGTAAGCAGCCTCCTTATTTGAAATTAGATTGGCAAGGAAGGTGACTAAGAATGACTATTTAATATTTCTTTCTGTAACAATCAGTTTTTTTATTTTTCCTTTTGAGGTGGGAGGGAGATAAAATCTGGCCCTTAAAGTACTATGTACTCATTCCAGTACCAAAATACAAAACACAAAGGAGTGTCTTAAATTTAGGGGCATACTGGGTTCCCTTTTAACTGCACTTGGACAAATATGCATGTTAGATATATAAATGTAAACTTATAAATAAGTACATCAAAGCAGGTATCTTTTCACTGCTGTGATTCTGTGGGCTATTGTAGCAAGAAGCTAAAGGAGAGGAAGCTAGTCTGCTTACAACTTTTTTCTTTTTTCTTGCCAGGCAAATCTTTCACTCAGGTTCATTGCACGTCAAGTGTTTGGTTAATTATTTTATCTCGTTTATATTTTAAACCAGCTTTTTTTGAGGGGAGGGGTGGGGGGAGAGGAGGCTAAGGGAGTGGTGATGAGTTCTCAGTTTTAAATTCTCTCTGATTCTGAAGGAGGATATCAGTAAAGAAAATCCTAGTTTGCAATTTTTATGTTGTAGAGGTATCTTATCTGTAGTTGCAGTAGTTATAAAAGTTGAGGTATGGAGTATCTTTTTTTGTTGATCTTTTCTAAGATGACGGTACTGACTGGTATGGTTTCTAATAAAAACGATTAAGTTATTGACTCGTAAAAGAGTTGACTGTCATTTACTGCCTAATTCCTCTTTTGCTGAATCATTTCTGTGATATTAACTTTATTTGTGACACTTTAGTAGGTGCAGGCCTGAGGGGGAAAATGTTATAGTTCTTTCACAATTCATTGGTTTGTGGATATTTCTGTTACGTTGTTTCCACACCGAATGACTCATATGTTAAATGAACATGCCAGCCTCAAGGCATGCCCTCGCTATTGGAGCCCACAGTGAAACTTGATGCCATTGCACATGAGAATGTGGAAGATGCTCATATCCGTTTGAATCTTTGGGAAGTTTTGTGCACTTCGGATGCGTGTGCTAGCAATTGCTCAACGTGTGTTTTTTCAAAAAGCTGTGTTTTATTTTGTCTGATTGCTCTTTTTCACACTTGATTTGCTGAGTTTGTAAGCTACATCTGTCTTGTGAGCCCAAGTTGGAACTGAGAAACAGTAATTTTTAGTTGTTTCTTTTCTTTTAACGAGGTGGTATAGTTTCATTGTATTAATTTCTGGACTATTTGATGAGAGGCTACAGAAGTATCTGATTTGCATTGCCACCTGTGCATTTTTAAAAGTATTTCAACAGATTCAGAAATTGCTTTATTTTGGAAGTTGATAGCAGAGATCCAGTGCTCTCCATATTGTGAAAATACTCATTAGTGTTAGATTGAACCAGTTGGACCTGATTACCTTAGCTCTCCTTGAATTTTGGCTTTCTTACCCATTTGATTTTCTGTTGTTTAATAAGAATGTGAAAGATTAAACAGATTTACCTATTGATGAAGTCACACAAATTATCACTTACATTATAGAAGCTTCACATCAGAATATTGCTGGGAGCAACCTAGGAAGCAGGGTCTTTACTATCTGTAATAGGGAGAGAGATGTGCACTCAGAGCTGTGAGAGGCAAGGCTTTGAAAAGTATACAAAGTGAAACTTTATTGATATTATTTTGAGTCTTTAGGACGTTTTGGCTTTTTTCATGTGCCATGCAAACATGTGATGTTAACTCTAAGCCTGCACTGGTTCATATAGTGGAAGTATGAAGTATGTGTATGGCTCTAGATATTTTTGTTCTGTGGTTTTGTTTTGTGGTTTTCATAGGAGTAAGACAGATTGCTATGACAGGATAGATAAAGCATATCACAAGTCAGGTATTTTGGCTTTTAAGTAATGGTCCTGTTCTGTCATGCATAGTATGTAGTGGAGGAGTTTATGCCAAAGCAAACAGATATATTTATGGGAAGACCACTCTTCAGTATAAGTTTTTCACTCCACATTTCTCATGGCTGTACATTGGGTGCAACTTTTTCTGTCTGTGTCCCTGCTTGTTTTCGTGAGGAGGTTGTCACTGCTTACCTAACTCTGCTTTCACTGTTGGGGAGCTTATCTGTCCTTCTTACAGACTTCTCTCTTCACCCTTCTCGGCTTTGGCAGCAGCACTAGGCGCATTAATGAAATGTGTGTGTGTAACTGCTAGCAAAATCGATTGCAATTCCACAGGAAACATTGGAAGGCAATAAAAGCAACTGTTTCAATCCTGCTTGCAGTTCTAGCACGCCCAGACCAAGTCACCTCAGGTCACTTAAGGATATCTCAATAAAATGGTATTCAAACATATAAAGTTATAACAATTCTGCTGTTTAATCTTCAAGTGATGTTAATGTATAGGCAAGAAGAAGGAGGTAGCAAAGTGAAAATACATCAGAAATTACTTCTGTGGCCAGGCTGATGTGTTTGAAAGAATGGTGTGAAGGTGCGGAGGGTGGTAATCTTGTACAGCTGCGTTTGCTTTTAATAGACCATAGTAACAGCAGCAAACCAGAGAGTGGATGTGCTGGTGTATTCCACATCTACAGGTGTAAAAGCTGCCTCGCTGGACTTCTTGCAGTCTCCTCTCTTCCTAGTCTTTGCTTGTCAAGAGCCTTCCTTTGTTTGCCAGGAGAGCTCCTGGAATCGTGCTCGTGTCTGCTGCAGCATGTACAGTTTTAGTCCTGCTCTCTCACTTTCCCACCTGTTCCAGAGCGTTTCTTCTGTTCCTGTACTGCGTGACCAAGATGAGCAGCTCTCAGGTAAAGTTCGGGGGCTGAGTTTTGACGAACAAATCAGGGTTTCTTACAAGTATAGAAGGAGCATCGATGTCAGGGGCTGCTGGTACCGTCCTCTTCTTTTTCCCGTGGAATCCTTGGGTGTTTTTCTCTGGAGGGTGAGGAGAGGGAGGTGGTTTCGCCGGTGGCAGTGCTCATCTCTGCCAGTTCCCGGCGAAGGGACCGTGTTGCACATGAGCACATCCAAGTGGCCTCAGGGTGTTCCCCGTGAGATGTGTCCTCGAGCTAGCGCGGCCAGAAATTTCTCCATTGGGATGGTCCGGGCATCGCGGCGGTGCCTTCAGCCGGCCGGGGCGGGAGGCGAGAGGTCTCTGCCCGGGCTCGGCGGCATTAGGACCCGGCGGGTCGTGCCTCCCCCCGTCCCCCGACCCTCCCCGGGGAGCGGCAGCCGCCCGCAGCCGGCCGGGGCCGGGGCTGGGGCTGTGCCTGGAGGGACCTTTGCCCGCCGGACCAGCCGCTGCCCGCGGCCGGCTTCATGTCAGGTTTCTTTTGTTCATTTATAGCAGAAACTTAGCTCTTCCTTCCGCGCCTACGCAGGGGATTGTGGCACTTGTTCGCGTTCAAAGATGTGCTTTGGCTAATGTTAAAATATGTCGAATTTAGTGCCTACACGGTATTCGCGCTACAAGACTTTTACAGCAACTTCTGTGTATCCTGCTGAACTCTTTGTAGTATAATACTTGAAACA